GAAAATTATTATCTGAAAGTCTTCATAGAAACGAAGATATACCCTTTTTTGCTTTAATCCTCGTTGTGAGCACCATAACCTCGTTGTGAGCAAGACAAGCGCAGTGCTTGTCTGGTTTTAATATGTAATTCAAATGGCAAGAATACAATTTTCAATATACCAAAAGCTATCAAAACGTTTTTGTACAATAGTTTTTCTTTGCAATAGTTCTTCTTTTTCTTTTTTGAAAATTATTCTTCATATTCACAAGTCATCAGATTAACAGAAGAACTAATCAGTGGAGGTAAATCAGCTATTTTATTTCGTATACTCTAGTGTGGCACGAGTGAACATCACGGGGAGTTTAGGAATATTTTAACAATTTCACAATCTGTGTGATACACACATACATGTGTTTATCCTGAGCTGAAGACTGACCAAGTTATGTAAAACAAGAACTATCACGGTAAGTTGACAGTGCCCCTGAAGTGGTCCTTTGATTTATGGACCAGATAAATTATTTGTTTTTGGACAATTAGATCATCAATGTGAAGGTCATTCAAGGTCAAGGTGAAATAAATATAGGTCAGTTGGAAGGTCTTGTCCAAAGGGGCATTGTGTCCAAATATGAATTAATTCCACTTACTTATAAAGAAGTTATGACCAATGTTAAAGTTTTTGGATGTTCTAGAAAGTCATTCAGGGTACAAGGTAAAAAAAATACAGATCAGTTTGAAGGTCTTGCCTAAAGGAGTGTTGTTTCAAAATATGAGTAGAATCCGTATGCTTATAAGGAAGTTATGACCAATTTTTAAGTTTTTGGACAATTTGACCTTCATGATGAAGGTCATTCAGGGGTCAAGGTCAAAAGAATATAGTATAGCTGAAAGGCCTTGTCCAAAGATGTGTTGTGCCTAAACATTATGCCAGGACATTATGGCCAATCTTAAATATTTTTGGACAATTTGACCTTTAAGGTAAAGGCCATTCAGGGGCCAAGGTAAAAAATACAGGTCTGTAGGAAGGTCTTGTGCTAAGGGATGTTGTGTTCAAATATGAATCAAATCCGTTTACTAATAAGGAAGTTATGGTAAATGTTAAAGTTTTCGGACAGATTGACGGACTGACAGACGGACAGTTCAAAACTAATATGCCTCCCTTTGGGATATGCACAACGTCTTGCAAAGAAATGCTGCTGTGCAAAAACTTTTTTATTGCTGTGGTAGATTGAAAATTATATTTTCACCATCTGAATTACATATTTAAACCATACACGCACTGCGCTTGTCTTGCACACAACGAGGTTATGGTGCTCACAACGAGTATCAAAAAAGGGTATATCTTCGTTTCTATGAAGACTTTCAGATAATAATTTACGCTGAAGACTTGTGGGCATCTGTTTTAGGTTAGAATGCACAAAACGTCACCAGAATCGACGTTTTTAATGTTAAATTAGGTCCAAAGAGAAGTTGTCTCCAGTTTTCCTGCTACCCCGAGTGACTGCGTCCACGGTATTTCCATCAAATTGTCCACCAACAGGCAATATCTTTACATGTGCATACTCGGAAAACACATCGCTAGCTAACTGCATTTCGATATTTTTACAAAAATGTCTGTAATCTTCAAACATTATGAAAAACTCACCTTGTTTATCGTGTCACACGTCAAAGATGGATGCTCACAACGAGGAACGGAAGTTGCTCACAACATTTTTACCGATGGACATTTTTCACTCGTTGTGAGTTAAACGGGCGTGATGTATGTAGTTAATGCTTAATGAGGGTCCATCCGCCTTTTCGGGCACAAAATGCAGATTTCGCTGTCGAGTACGGACCCCGGACATGTCACCAGTCATGCCCTTAAAGAGTTAATTTTAAAGCACAAAGTGGTGATAATTTACCTCCATGCAATTTCCACGGAGTATTAGCCAGCCAAAGATATGAATTTTGAGCCAAAAGTAGGTCACTGTACGGCGGTCAATGAGAACCTAAATGTACAGTAACCTGTGACAATATGAAAGGTAGCCCAGAAAAGGGCTGTTGGTGCCAGCAAAAGGCCTGCCTTACAAGCCGTATATCTGTACTAGGGGCTCACGCACCCTAGCACACCATCCTCGTCGTCTCAGCCTACTTTGTAGGGTCACTCCCCTCGGCATTAGTCAGGACACCGGCAGCTGGTCCGCAGTGTTGACGAAATAGCGATACCGTTGTTACAGCCTACGGGGGGCTTCTATTTAGTTGAGTTGTGTTTGCTACCAGCCAAGCTGTAAATCTTCTGCCGATGCCCTGTGCCTTCTCAGCGACGTGCACGCTCCGAGGGGAAGTGAGAAGCTGTGTTGAAGTTAAAGCTTAATGAGGGTCCATCCGCCCTTTTGGGCACAAAATGCAGCTTGCGCTGTCGAGTACGGACCCATAACATGTCACCAGTCATGTCCTTAAAGAGTTAATTTTGAAGCACAAAATGGTGATAATTTGCCTCCATGCAATTTCCACGGAGTATTAGCCAAAGATATAAATTTTGAGCCAAAAGTAGGTCACTGTACGGCGGTCAATGAGAACCTAAATGTACAGTAACCTGTGACAATAGGAAAGGTTAGCCCTGAAAAGGGCTGTTTGCGCCAGCAATAGGCATGCCTTTCAAGCCGTCTAACCGTGCTAGGGGCTCAAGCACCCTAGCACACCGTCCTCGTCGACCCAAGCGCCTACTTTGTAGGGCCCTCTCCTCGGCATTAGTCAGGACACCGGCAGCTGGTTCGCAGCACAAGTTTCGATCTTTTTGCGTCGTCTCCAACCTTGGCACCTGGGTAGAACCACCGACCTTCCGTAAGCCAGCTGGATGGCTTCCTCACATGAAAGATTTCGGCCCAAGTGAGGATCGAACCTACATCGGTGAGGGACCTGTGATCTCAAGTCAGCGACCTTAACCACTCGGCCACAACGTCCCCAACCACAGTTGCAAAAAAACTATATATGTATATATTTATGCAAATAAAACAATTTTCAAACATCGAAGAATATGAAAAATTTGTACTGGAAATATTTGTGCACATTATATTTAATCAATAAATGACATGCATTCATTTCTTATTGGAAAATTCTACTTTGAATTTATAGAAAATAAATTTCTAATTACCTCCCTTTTTTACATGTTTAATTCGGTAATATCTTCATAAATAATGCTTATTGGAACTAAAAATATTGACAAATCTTAACTTGAGCATCATATTCATGAAACAAAGCCATGCAAAAATTATGTTACAGAATCTTTAATATAAACATGAATTTATATATTGCGACATTCCATAGTGTAATGGAAAATGGTGCGACACTAAACGTCATCATTACGACACTTAAAGATCCTGTAACACATTTTTTGTTTGGTTTCATATCATAAATATTATACTCAAATTAAGATTTATCAATTTTGTAAGTTCCAAAAAGCATTAAGATATTTCCGAATTTTACATTTCATGTAAATAAAGGGAGGTAATAAAATATTTATTTTCTATAAAGTCTGAATGCATGTATTTTAATGATTACATATAATATGTATAAATATTTGCAGTACATTTTTTTTTACATTTTTCGATGTTTGAAAATTGTTTTATAAGCATAATTATATATATATATTTATATAATTGTGGTATACAACCTCAATTACAACATACGGGATCTTTAACGGCAAAATAGATTGAGACATTAAACGGCAAACGTGCGACATTTTGCGTTGTTGCGACATAATTACATCCACGAAAATCTTCTCATATTTAAAAAAACTACTTTAATATAAAAATGCAAATTTTAACGCGTTTATAAAATCAAAATAAACATTATTCAAATCATATATTAAATACAAATTAAACTTCACCGAAATTGATGCAAAAACAGAGATAAATATTACCATAAATAACACCATAAACCCTTTGATGAAAATGTTCAAAGCAGTACAGAAATTAATGAAAAAACTAGAAAAGTTAGATTAATGTTTAAATATTCAGGTAATCATTTGAATAATATGATGTATATCTTTAAATTAAAGTTAGAGTTCAACTGTTTATCTTGAAATTTTAATTTAAAATAAAATTAAAGATAACAAAAATACTACGTATTACTCACGACTTTAAATATTTAACAAATCTGAGACGAAGTTGGGGACAGCTTTTCACAGCCATTTTCCTGGGTTAGAGCTTTTGGCCTTAGATGGCTGTAGAAAATACCTACAATCTAATGCAATGGCTATTCAACAATGGAATTAGTCAAATAGTATTTAAACGCTTAGCACCAAAAAGGTGTTTTTTATGAATTTTCTTATATTTTATATACGGAATAAAAGTAACAATGACACGCAGATCTCTCGCTGTTATTATCCTATGGTTAGAACTTTGGGCCCGGTATGGCTGTAAAAAATAACAAACCCACTGATAAAATGGCTATTCCGCAACCAAATTAGACAAAAGGTGTTGAATAGGTTGGCTTAAGAAAACCGTGCTCTTTACGAAAAATGTTTGACCTTCTTTAGCGAATCAACGACTTTTTTTCAACGATTGGTTCTTTCTGCATATAAAGTCAAAGAATTTTCACAAAAAGCACGATTTTCTTAAACAACATTTGTCTGATCCCACTGCGGATTAGCCGTTGCATTATTTTGGAGATTGTTGTTTACAGCTAAATAAGGCCAAAATTTCTAACACACAGTAAATTCCCGCGAGAAACCCAAATGATATATAGTCGCTTTTTGCATCTCGCGGCATTTTCCTTTGGGTTAGAGCTTTTGGCCTTATTGCTGTAAAGTAGAACCTTCAAACTTATGCAATGGCTTACACGCAACAAAGTCAGAGAAATGGTGTCAGCCCACCACTGGTCTAATGACTTAAGTCATGACACAATTCCCAGGTCTACATGCATAGTCGACAGGACGGTGTAACATTCACTGTGATATTTGTGTTGTAACAACTGTATTTATGTGTTACCAGTTATACCCGGTGGACATATACAACAAAACCAGATCTTCAAGAGACACTTTTATTCACACACTCATTATTTTTTTGAAAGTGATAAAGAAATATTGTCCAAGGACACATTCTTCAAATCTTCAAAGCTTAAGGAACTTGATGCATAAAAAGACGTTCTTGTTTTGCCTCAAGAATTCAAATACCGCTTGTAGGCCTACAACCGGTTTGGTTAAAAATAGAACAGTAAAGACTCGTTTAAAAAATACTTAAACAAGAATATAATTTTAAATCAATGCTTTTGAAAAAAAAATGCTGAATTTCAGGGCAATAATGAATGTATGGTGTCGTCATTGTGCATTTCATTCCGGTCAATATCAAGAATCTTCATGACATTATTATCATTCTTAGAATGAATAGTTTAAAACTTTTTCCCTGTCCAGCCGGGTGGAGGTTCGATATCTATTAAATCCCCGCAACAATAGCAAGTGGAATCTATTTTCTTTCTCCCAAGCTTGCAACATCTTTTGCGGCGTTTATTTCGTTTTATTCCACAACAAGTACACGGATATATTACGGTTGTAGTTGAGAGAGTACTAGTTGTTGGTGACGAAGTGGCTGACGTAGTTGATGACGTGGTAGATGGTGTAGTGGTGGTGGTAGAAGTTGACGTAGTCGATGAAGTGGTAGAAGTTGTCGATGAAGTAGTTGACGTTGTTGAGCTGGTAGTGGAAGAAGTCGTACTGGAAGTTGTTGAACTCGACGTAGTGGAAGAACTGCTGGAAGTTGTTCCACAAACGTCAAAACTTGCGACGCAATTACCTTTGTAGCATATCTAAAAATAGATTATGATTTACGTCAGAAAAATGAAGTATCGATATTACACGCGTAACGTGCTACTTACTGGTTGTTTAAACAAACGTGTGTTTGTAAGAAGTTTTTTGATAAAATTCATAATTGATAAATTCCCAAAAATGTTACACACCTTGTCTGTACCGCATGGTGTCCCATTCCACAGAAACTGCAGCTTTTGTGTGCATTGACCTTCACTATCCTGGCATCCTATTTGATTACGGGCATAACACGCCTCTTCTGTAACTGACTTCATGTAAAGAAACAAGAAGAATTTCTAATCATTTTAAAACGTAACTCTTCTTTTACTATAATGATATCAAATTCAAAATGCAAAACCAATATGAGACTAGGTTATCGTTTTCTCCGATTAAATCTTTAGCATTGTACTCAACAATGCATAATTACCTCATAATATGACACAATACGACGCAATGCCAGTTTATGTCATATCATACTATAGCTACCATAAGACAATACAATACAATATCAATATTGATTTATTAAAGCATTCAAAGTGCATGTTCTGTGTATTGAAAAATGTATCAGACAGATTAGTCTACACCATACTGTTTTAAAAAAAATAAAAAAAATAAATGTTAGAAACATTTTCAATTAGACATCAATGACAAAATAATTTGCTTACGTCACAGGCGGTGCTGGTAGTTAGATTTAACAGACGCTGGCACTGTTTATCTACTGAGTCGTCTTGCGCGCCAAGAAATCCTTCACAAAATTTGGCCTTAAACTCTTCATATGTTGTACTTTCATCATCAATACAGCCAGGAACACTGATAAAACAGTAATAGAACTTAATAATAATAGAATGCCAGCACTATTTAGTGTTGAGAATTGAGTACCGCTCAAGCCGGTGCTAGGGGGCGTGTGGGATGTTGCATGTATTCATTATCCCTCATGTTCAGACTCAATCAAACCGAGCCTGCAATTCTCTTTTAATTTTGTTGTGATTAATGCTTCCGAGGGATCACTTGTTTCAAATTTTTGTTAATGATTACGAAAAAGAAATAGAGAAAAGCAGAATCCCTCAAGAAAGCCCAACACGGCAAAATTGAAAATGCTGGAGGCTCGGTTTGATTGAGCCTGTTCATGGGCGGTACTGGAAAGTGCAAGTTACTGTCAACGCCCGCTAGCACCGGCTTAAGCAGAATCCAACATTTAAACACGAAAATGGTGAAATTTTAAATTTAGAAACATCCGCAGATTTGTTCATACGGCGGTTATAATGGAACCTTCAATGTGACAGAGTAGTGCCATTCCATGAAAAGGGGCGTATGGGCCCCAAGTAAAAGAATGCGTAATTAATATCTATATTTCGGCTGTCGGATAATATCGGAAATGACCGAAGCTGCTCTCGCCTTTTGCTGTCACTCAAAATATCGGTGCCTTGGTCTAAATTTAAGTATATTTTATCACTTTTGTCACTTGAGCGGCAATTTTCAATCATGACTTCATTATTTAGGCTCGTTCACCTGTAAACCTCAATTAAATGATACCGGTATTTGCAAGCAATTACATAAAACGTATTTATATTTATCTTATGATTTCCATGAAAGCCCTAAAAATAGAATTAGTGGCAGTGAGATACAATTTATCACACAGTTTGAAATTTGCAGTGAATAAACGAGTCTTCTTCCTGTTTTGAAAGATAGGCAAATTAAAGGCAAGTTTACATATATAGGATTCCCATAAAGGTACAGCGATCGGAAGAAGCTGGGGCTCTTTATCGCAAGACATGGTACCATTGGATTGCAATGTTGCAAGACTTGGTGTTGTGGTGTGAAATTGAGTAAATGAAATGTTGATTTATATTTATTGCACAGAACGCTGTAAAATGTAGATTGTTCAACATCATGGCGTCAAGATAAAGTTCAAAAGTATGGTGGCTGATTTGGTACATTGCGCGTTGCCTTGTCGATAGCGACAACGCAACCTATAACGGCATCGCCTTTTCGCTAGCGACAACAACATGACAAAGCACCAAAAGGCGCGTTATCGCGCTGTCGTCTTCTCGCCCTGTCTCTAGCGAAGCACGCAAAACGATGCGTTGTCGTGCGGCGCGTTGTTGCGATGTCGCCCTGTCGCTTGGCTTATAAGTCAATCCTTCGATTTGAACCAAGCGACGATGTGACATCGCGACAACACACTGCACGATAACGCGTCGTTTGGCGTACATCGTTAGCGACAGGACGATAAGACGAAAATCTGAAAATGCGCCGTTTGGCGCTTTGTCCTGTTGTTTCTAGCGCCAACAAGACGCACAAAAGCGTTCCAATTCAGCAACCATACAAAAGCGTCTTTTAGTGCCATCTTTTTTTTCGGGGGGGGGGGGTGTTTGGGCATTAAAGTAAACAGGTTGCAAACATTTTTTACAGGCTCACTTTATGTTGTTTAACTAGAGACGTATAATTTCATATCAGGGACATAGCTTGGTTTCAATTTATGCGTAGGCCGACTTCTAGCTTCTAGACGGTATGAAGTTGGGTATGCCCTTCAAGATGTTTTGCTTTGGAGTGTCATTTGGACGTTTTGTAGGAGAATTTTAGAAACTTCAGGTACACAAATGAATATTGTTATTTTTTCACTTTCAGGCAAAAAGTGTAAGCCGCGACTTATACGACTCGCACGACCTTTAGCGAGGTACGTTACTAATAGCAAAAGTGAGATACTTACCTATTCAGATGGGCGGTTATTTCAGCTACACTGCATGTGGAGAATTGCTGGTACGTGTCTTTGTTTGTTGTGTTCGGAGCAAACAGGAAGAGGGACATGAGGTTTACACCGGAAGGACATGCATTAGTGCCGTCGTGATCCGCTCCCAAACTAAAATATATTTCGTATTATAAATTATGACTTCCTGGACATTTCCCAACAAAATTTTTAAAAATTAAGGTTGTATATTTCAGAAACATATTTTAAAAATCTGAGTCATTAAATGCTTTGGGCTTCTGGTGGTTATATGAGAGCTTGCTTTGCTAGATACGAAGCAAGCTACCATTGCCAACATGGTATAAGATTTAATTTCAAACGTGGCAACTACAAAACATACTCATGAAGTACTACTGTTCTGTTGTTGTTTTGTTTTTTGGGGTTTTTTTTTTTTTTTTGGGGGGGGGGGGTTCTTGTTGTTGTTGTTGTTGTTGTTTTTCCTGCTTTTTCCAAATTAGATTACGGCTGTAGTTACTTAATCGGAATAAAAGTACTTACGCATGGCCTAACTCGTGAGCAAGAATTCTGGGTAAATTCCATGACGTAAACTCTGTTAATGCATACTTTTTCGGAAGGGTCGTGCATATTGTTTCCCGATAGGTAAATGCTGAAAATGACCAAAAATGGCATATATAAAAAAAAGGAAATGACTGATTTCATAGAATTGATCGCCGCCGCATTATATTCATAATAAGTATATAATGTATATAAATTTTTCAAACTTTCATTGGTTCATTTGCTCTTAATCATATATTTTTATGTATAATATAATTATAATAGCCACTTAAGCGCCCGACTTGCCTTGACGAAATTGTACGACTTACGCATTGTGCGAGTTTTCCGAGACTACGAGACAGTCAAGGCTACGACTATTAAAAAAAACTGAACATAATTTGATAAATAAGTCTATGAGGACAGGCATGCTTGATTGTGTTTTGTTTCGTGAAAAAAATATTTCAGGTAAAAAAGAAAAGATGTGTCGATTGAATGAATTGAAAAGTTTTATTTTCGCGCCTTTTTTAGCTATTTAAGGGAAATGTTACTTGCAGCATTTGGGGACTTTGAGAAATTAAAAGATGAAAATTTGCTTAAAAGTAAGTCAAAATATTCGAAGAAGTTGAAACAAACATTTTGTTTTGCTGTTTTTTTTTATTTTTATCGATTTTTTTATTTGATATTGGGGAGGGATGGTTGGAGATGGGTTAGGATTTATTTTGAATCGTTAATGGGGCCCTTTTGATAAATGGTCTGATTATAAATTTTAAACATTATGTATAAGTGCTTGATGTTAAATATCAAAATAAAATGTACTTACAAACCAGTGGATTGCCAGTTGTGCTATTCATAAGGTTGAAGCTATTATAAAAAACAATACAAAACATAAATGTATTAACAAAATAATGAAATCTTCCATTAATCTTCCACTTATCATGTATATAAAATGGTAAACATACTTGATCTGATTATTTCTGATAATATTAAAGGCAAATTATGCCTCAGAAATCAATATTTTTCAAAATTCTTTAGAAAGATCAGACATGTGTTTGATAATATTTTGAGTCTCGTAGGTGTTAAACGACTGCAGAAAGTAGCATTTAATGTGCAGAAATGTGTTGTAAACGTAGCAAAATGTAAACAAAGTAGTATTTTGACTTCCATACAAAAAAAACTAACTCATTATAATCATTCCTATTGAAGAAGGCAAGGATTCTTCTAAATGAGAACTGTTTAGAAACTGTAATAAGATACCAAAGATAAAAGGGTTTTTAAATATAAAATTTCAGGGGCTTAATGGGCCTTTAAGAGATTTCAACTTTAACTTTAACCACAAAAATGATTTTCTTCAATTCTTAATGCATTCTTACAATAGCAAACTGATTTTCTTCAATACTTAATGCATTCTTACAATAGCATAACTTAAACCACAATTTTTTTTCTTTGATACTTAATGCATCTTTACAATGACATAACTTTAACCGAAAAAAGATTTTCTTTTAAACTTAATGCATTCTTACAATGGCAAAACTTTAACCGCAAAATGACTTTCTTCAATACTTTATGTATTCTTACAATAGCATAACTTTAACCACAAAATAATTTTTTTCAATACTTAATGCATTCTTACAATACTTAATGCAGTCTTACAATGACATAACTTTAACCACAAAATGGTTTTCTTTATTACTTTATACATTCTTATAATTGCATAACTTTAACCACAAAATATTTTTCTTCAATACTTAGTGCATTCTTGCAATAGCATAACTTTAACCACAAAATATTTTTCTTCAATACTTAGTGCATTCTTGCAATGGCAAAACTTTTATCACATCAGCTTACCCTGTTAACGCAAACACGTAATCATATCTTTCTGTTATGAAGCCACTGTCGTTAATAACGAACTCCAAGTTAGCTATCATGTCGGGAGATGCGTCAAGACCTGTACCATCATTGTAGTTCTCCGACCATACAAAGTTCTGTCTAAACTAATAAAATAAGGGTAAAATGGAAATATATTATATGTACAATGTAATAAAATGTTCATAATCTTTTTGCGATTACGTATTATCACGGTGTATAACTGGCTCGGACTGCTTATGTTAACATTGTAACGGAGACGCGGGACAACCATGATTAGGCAAAGGACCTTTGTCTAATAACACAATTAACGCAAGTGACCATGAAGCAAATTTGAACTCAAAACGGTGTTTTAAGACTCAGAAGGGACTCCATTTACAATGATACTGCCAAGGTCATAATCATAACGACTCTTCCGGGTTAAACATCCTTTGTCCCTGCTCACCATTTTAGGCTTGAAGCCTCTTCACTTTAGAGAATTCAAAATTTAGAGATAAGGGTCATATGAAAGTTCAGCCATTGATTGTAACGTAAGGGGCATAACCTTCTTGACTTACATCATTATAACATTTATCTGGATGTTTGCTGTATATTTGCTAGACACTATACCAATTAACCCTTTACCCCATATATACGCGAAACAACGCACTATCGACCCCCCCCCCCCCTCTTTTAGGCCTCAAATAGTGAAAAAATGTCCTATTTTGGCCCAAAATACATGTTTTCGTTTGACAAATGTTGCTAAAAAAAGGAGCACTTTTTCGGCGCCTCCCCCATCCAAAAGATACATCAGGGGGTTGCCAGAAGGGGGATGTGCCCCCTTCTGTTTGGGGGGTTTTAAGGGGGACGGCAGTCCCCCTCATCGCCAAGAAATGTTGGACTTGTGAGAGGCTAAAATTGACCCCAGATCGATCATAAGGTAATGTGTAACCAACGCTGTAAAGCCTTTGACTCTATCTCAATCCCTTGAGAAGTTGCAGCACTTTGAAATAAATTTTGATGGAAAAAGTCGAGGCAAAATAGTGATTTTTGGCAATTTGGAGACGTCCCCTCGTTGTCATGGTAACAGGAAATTTAAGACTGAGCATGTCGTTATGTACAAAGGCAATGGTCCAGTCAACATTTGTGCCAAGTTTGATTAGTATTGAAGCATTTTTCATAGTTTCATAGCAGTTTGAACTTGTAACAGGAGACTTTTCAATGAAAACGGCCATTTTTCACAATATGCTCATGAGGGAAAGGGTTTAGAAACTGACTTATTTGATAGTCGTCAACCCTCATGGGACTTGCTGTGATGATCTGTTGTTGATCTTTGTTAACATGTATTTTATATTTTCTCTTCGGAAGGGACGTTTTCCTTGTTAATAGGAGATTCCTGAAGGACGATAAATTACCTTGGAACTGCTCGTGCAGAAAACATGGCGGCTAAAATGATGTTTAAGCAATAATTTATTACCTCCCATGCAAGATCTATTTCAGCCATTCCATAAAAAAATTAAATGCTTAACACATACCTGGCTAGACCTCTGGCGGTAAAATCCAAAGGAATCCTTTGCTGGATCAAACAAAGTCTGGGGACGCTGTTCCGATTAAAATGTACAAGCCAGTTAGCCACCGTGATTACTTAGATTCGTTAACATAAATTTTTAAACGTACGTGAGCAATATTTTTTTTTTTTTAAAAAATTGGCTTTTTCCAAAAAAGAAAGAAAAGAAAGACTTTAGCCATTTAGTCAACGTGATTACTTAAATCTATCAACTTTCAATGTTCAAAATGGCCCTTTTTAAAATTGTTGTGATATTTGATTTCCCTAAGATTCCAAAAGCACTGTGGTCAATTTGACGCTTTTTAAAGAATAGAAAAAAAATTGAATGTCTAGTCTTGTATCAGTATTCGCCACTAATTGTTATTCTAGAAGTGTTTGATATGTGCTTGGCAGACATATTTTGAAAAGCGTCCATTAAATGTCTTATTTCATTAACACCCATAAAAACGCGTCAAATCGTTTGTCAGAACATATTTACAAAGTTGAAAGTCATGTATTAAAATGTATTATAATGCGTCAAATAGTTTGCACGAATATATTTAATTGACAGTCACGAAATGGTTTGTCCGAATATAGTTAATCGTCATCCTTGAATAGAAATGCTCCAAATAATTCTTCCGTATATATTTCATTAAATGGTTTGTCCGATTATATTTAATTGAAAGCTGCATATTGAAATGCGTCAAATGTGCCCGGATATAATTATTCAATTGACGGTCATGAAATGGTTCGTCCGAATATAGACATCCACGAATTGAAATGCTTCAAATGATTCGTCCGTTTATATTCAATTAACGCTCACGTATGGAAATGCGTCAAACGGTCCTTCCGAATATATTTAATGGACGTCACGTATGGAAATGCATAAAATGGTATGTCCAAATATATTTTATTGACGATCACGTATGGAAATGAGTCAAATTGTCCTTCCGAATATATTAAATGGACGCTCACATATGGAAATGCATAAAATGGTTTGTCCAAATATATTTAATTGACGTCACGTTTGGAAATGCATCAATTGGTCTGTCCGGATATATTTGACAGCTTGGAAAGACCATTTTATTCAGAAAGATACAATATTTAGAAATATGATTAAACACAGAGCACAATTATTTCAGCACAACAACATATTATTTGATATGAGATTTTACCATATCACATTTAGACAAGTTTTGATTATGAGTTTTTTACTATATAACGTTTAGACAAGTTGTATACTTACTCCTGGAATTGCGAATGCTGTTGGATACACCTGTATATCCAAACTGCCGCCTGATACTTCTTTCAATGAGGCATAATACACGTTTATCTGTAGACATAAGTTTCAATTAAACATTTACATTTTTACAACGAGTGAGACATAAAACAGTTTTACCGTATTCGGTATGTACTGGAACAGGCGCTTGAATGATTAAATGCTATAAAATATCGCTTTTTCGCTCGCCGAAATGTACTTTAAGACATCTAATTCAGTTGTTTCGTTGAATGTTTATATATATTGAAAAAAAAAACAACGTTTCGAAATAAAGTATCATTATTACACAATAACAATTGTTTCGTGCATGCACCATTTAGGAAAAATACCAACAAATTTCTATCATACAGGCATTTTGGCGTTAATCTTTTACGAAATTGAAAAAATATTTTTGAAAACTGCAGGTAGCAGAAGTAAAGCTTTGTACAGTTTAAAACATCATTGCATTGTTTTTTATGAAATATTTACTGACGAGCCTTGATGTCCTAACATCTTCTCTCTACAATGCACTGAGTTAATCCCACTGATAATATGTCAGTAAAAGGCTCACTGAACGTGACTTTATGGGGCTATTGATCTTGCATATACAAAATATTACCTCATTTGTAAGCAGGGTACCAAAGATTTGCATTTCCGTTTCCGCAGCGCTTATGTCATTAGGATTTCTTCGGTAAAACCTTTGAATGGTAAATACAATTTTAGATTTAGACAATTTCCGGAAAAAAAATCGAATTGAAACAGTAGGACATGTACTAACCAAAGATCTCTCCGGAATGCATACAGTGTAGGTGTTTTTTATACCCGGCAATTCTATTCTACATGTACGAAACGTGCTGTTTTGTTGTTGTTGTTTTTACTCCTAACATGCAACTTATTTGATTATTTTTTAAAAAACTTAGATACGTAAAATGACAATTTAAATTGTCTACTGATAGTAAAATATTTTATCAGATTGTTATACATTATGCATTTTATTATTAACCTGTACATATTTTTCTACATATTTTTTCTTCATTTAATACATGTTTCACGTGCACAGATACAACCCAACAGAAGACATGAACTGTATCACACTGGAGAGTTATCTGGAATAAATGCATGATTGAATATATAGTTTATAGATGTAAAATAAAATGGTAAATAGAAAAGTACTTTGATCGTTCATTTGTATAATAAACTCCACTTATAACAATAAAACTGATAATTTTATACCGCTTATAACGATATACCGCTTATAACGATGCTGTTGCCGAGGTTTCAAGTCTTTGTTTCTCGGATATAACGGTATCCGGATATAACAATATAAATTCGACCGTCCCTTGAATATCGTTATCTGTACTTGGCTCTCAGGGATTTTACAAAAATTGATTACACTCGACGCTTCCGTGCCTCGTAAGATACTATCCTGGTAAAATCCACTAGAGCTATAGACTTCGTACTAATAATAACCCTTATTATATTACTTAAATCCTTTCCAGGCTAATTGTGTGTAATGCACATGCACTGCGTTGAGCTAGTAACATTCCAGTGTGGGTTGAAGGGAATAAAGAGAATCCATTATTTAAAAATATTGTCAGACCCATATAAAACGACCACCTTCAAATAAAAACCTGTCTATAATGACAGGCTTGACTAAAATGATTTAAAAAAATTATGGAAAAGGAGCGATCCCTTGGAAGCCATGATAACATCAATATTATATTTAAAAAAAATTGCAGACTCGGTTTGACGGAATCTATTCACGAGAGATACTGTAGACGTGCCCCCTAGCACCGTCTTTGGCAACTTACAATGTGCTGGAATTGATGATACCAATAGACCAAAAAAATAGAACAACAATGAAGTGAAACCCAGGGCAGCTTTTTAACAGCTCTCACTTGACAACTGCTGTTAAAAAATCTTTTATTATTATTGAAATTTGATAATTATAAAAGATAAACAAATAAAAATTAATCATAAAACAAGTTTACATTATTACGTATGTAATAAAATATAAGATATTGATACTTCAACTTCCCAATGAAAAAAAAAACAAAGAAGAAAAAAAAAGGAAAAGATATTTACAAGTCAGTGAATTTGGCATCTGGCAGATACGCCACTTCTACAATCTTATCAACTGATGTTGGTAAAATACCCCTCTTTTTTCTAGACATTGTTTCATCAACAATTGGTATGGCTGAAAGATGTAATTATGTATTTATTTATCACCATATGAAATGAGCCGCGTCACGACAAAACCAGCATAGTGCGTTTGCGACCAGCATGGATCCAGACCAGCCTGCGCATCCTCGCAGTCTGATCAGGATCCATTGCTTTTCGCTTACAAACCCTGTAACAAGTAGAGAAACTGATAGCTAACAGCATGGATCCTGATCAGACTGCGCTCAAACCCATTACGTTGGTTTTGTCGTGACGCGGCTCAAATGTAACCCATAACCCTCAAGCATCATGTGACCTCCCTTCATAAATTATTATTGGACCAAATCTTAACAATTTAGCCTCGTTTTCACTTTGTAAATCCAAAATAGTTCATATTTAACCACTATCGTACTCCCTCAAGCCTCGTTTTCATTTCCTAAGTCCAAAAGTCTATATAAAATTCGTATTGTACTCGAAGAAACAAAGTTCTGTCAAAATGTAAAAAAAATGTAAATGTAAACTTGTTGAGTATAATACTAGTTCTATTGGATTCGGACAATGGTTATATTAAACTCGGCTAAATAGCCTCCATCTGTGTGTACACACGGCCGATAGAATTCAGTATTGTACTCAACACTAATATATATTGCATCCATTTTTTTCTTTTTAACTGTCTTGCAATTTCTCATTGAATTCATGGTTTTAAATTGTTTTGTATTATTCTAACTGCTTATATGCTTATATTTGTTTTTGTTCTTTCGTGTTGTTTCTGATTCTAAAACTTTAACTTTTGTTAGTTTTTGTTTAATGCAGTATTAAATTAATGCCTTTGTTATAGTTTTTAAAGGAGCGTCAATGAGGTCAAAAATAAAAAAAACATAACATACGAAATTCTTACATAGATCAGTGAAGCACTTAATATGGAGAAAAAGACAAAAATTTAAGATAATATCGAAAATCCATTTTTGAGCGATTATAAGCACGATTTGAACGAAGAGCGTTGCACAATAAAAGCGTCTTTTCTGGAATTTGCACATAAGTTATTGATCCAGACCTTCATCAAATGGTACACAAATCTCGAAAAAAGCCCAGTCCCGCCATGTCTGAAACCTCAGTGGAGTCCCTTTAATGATAGCTGAGTCCCTTTGTCCCTTTAAGGATGGCTGTTTGGGTCGGGTTTTTTTTTCTATTTGCGCATTCTCCGACAGTATATACAATCACGTTACGTTTCGTGATGCAATTTTTCTTAAATCTTTAGAGAATATTTTTTACTTACAAATCGGTTCTGGCATTTCCTTCGATGGTCCTTTATCTTTTGCGGAACAGTCTGCATGTGAGGCCCCTGGTCCAATGTAGCAAGTCTCCCCTTCTAGGTTCAATATTGAAGACTGAAAATATTATTATGATGATTTATTTTATGCTTTTCAGTGGATTACTGATTTATCCGTGAAAATTATATTTGATAATTTCACAGTGAAAATTATCAAAATATAATTTCACTTTTTTCAATGACGAAACTACTTTTTTAAGATTTTCCCCATGTGGTACCTCAATTTTATTTTTACTGACAATTCTGACAATATCAGGCTGTTTAAAGAAAACGCAAAGCTGAAATTGATAATCAACTTAAATGTCAAAAGTAATAAAAAGAAGAAAACTTACTTCTATTCATTCAAAATTCCAATCACCAAATTTCATCTCTAAATTTTTTGTTTTCATTTTTACAGTCTGACAATACATTCCTTCCACATGGCAAACTGCTCTTGATGACTTTTTGGGCACATTAAAGTTTCCTACGAGCAATAAACTGCCGTTATGCTTTTATGAAAAATTGAAAAGCAATGACAGCTATCACCTCGGTAGAAACAATTAAACCAACCCAGCGTTTCCGAGCAAGCTTTCCAAGTTTTTCCATTTTCCTAGCTCCTTTTCTGAATGTTTTTCACATCTGTCAACACTTATTTTTTGTCTGTTTCAATCTTCAAATATGTTTTCTTTCTTTTAAAAAGGTGTATGACTAACAAATCCAAATGATATCCTCTGAATCAACACAATTATTTTCCTCCCGTGAAATACACAACTTTAAAAAATGGCTGCCGCTTACATTTAACAAAGCCAGGTCTAATTATAAAAATACGCAGTAAGTAACAGAAATATGGCATGGATGGTTGGAATTTTTTCTCCTACAAGAATTGTTTGTTTTTATTATTAAAAAAACAAGCGATCATTCATATTTTTTTAACAAAAATAAATAATATCACTGTCATTAACGTTTGATTGTCGGACTTATTTTACAGCTCAAAGATTCTTGTTTTTAAGAGAAATTCCGACTAAATGGGGCTCTTCAATGGGGAAAAACAGATTTTAATATTTATGTTAATGTCATGAAATTTCGTTTAAACTGTTTTTTTAGCATAAAATTAAAAAGAAAATTTGTTTTGTTTGTTGTGTAAGATTTAATTTTATTTTCATCTCGTGAACTTTAAAAAACAGGTATTCTCACTCGTGGCTTCGCCACTCGTGAGAAATACTGTTTTAAAGCCCCACTCGATGAAATAAAATTTCATCTTACACACAAACAAACAAATATCCTCTATGTCATACGTGTGTTATATCTATAAAATAAAGAGTGTTTTATAAGTATGTGAGAAGTTAGCAGTAAACAGTGACCTAAGCAAAAAGGCATTTCAATTTATATAGGGAAGGTAATGATCTGCTGTAATGCTCAGCTGTTTTGGGCATCTAGCAGGGCATTCCTAAATATGGTGTAAAAATGCTCTGCTGCAATACTCAGCTGTCTTGGCAATCTAGCAGAGCATTCCTAGCTTTAGTGAAAAAAAATGCTCTGCTGGAACGCTCAGCTGGCTTAGGCAGTCTAGCAGTGCATTACTAAATATAAGTGTTAAAAATGCTCTGCTGGAATGCTAAGCTGGCTAGGCAATCTAGCAAGGCATTACTAAATATAGTGAGAAAATGCTCTGCTGGAATGCTAAGCTGGCTAGGCAATCTAGCAGGGCATTACTAAATATAGTGAGAAAATTTGCTCTGCCTGGAATGCTAAGCTGGCTAGGCAATCTAGCAAGGCCATTACTAAATATAGTGAGAAAATGCTCTGCTGGAATGCTAACCTGGCTAGGCTATCTAGCAGGGCATTACTAAATATAGTGAGAAAAATGCTCTGCTGGAATGCTAACCTTGGCATGGGCAATTCTAGCAGGGCATTACTAAATATAGTGAGAAAATTGCTCTGCTGGAATGCTAAGTGGCTAAGAGCAAATCTAGCAGGGAACATTTACTAAAATATAGTGTACAAATGCTATTCTGGAATGCTAAGCTGGCTAGGCAATCTAGCAGGGGCAAATCTTCCTTAAATATAGTGAGAAAATGCTCTGCTGGAATTGCTAAGACTGGCTAGGCTATCTAGCAGGGCATTCCTAAATATAGTGAGAAAATGCTCTGCTGGCTAGCTAAGCTGGCTAGGCTATCTAGCAGGGCATTTACTAAATAAGTGAGAAAATGGCTCTGCTGGAAATGCAAGCTGGCTAGGCAATCTAGCAGAGGCATTACTAAATGTTGTGTAAAAAATGCTCTGGTGGAATGCTAAGCTGGGTAGGTCAATCTAGCAGGGACATTACTAAATACAGTGTAAAAATGCTTCTGCTGGAATGCTAAGCTGGCGGCTAGGCAATCTAGCAGAGCATTACTAATTATAAGTGGAACAAATGCTTTTCTGGAATTATGCTAACCTGGCTAGGCAATCTAGCAGGGCATTACTAAATATAGTGTAAAAATGTTCTGCTTTGAATGCTAGCTGGCTAGGCAAATCTAGCAGGCGCATTACTAAATATATGTGTAAAAATGCTCTGCTGGAATGCTAAAGCTGGCTAGGCAATCTAGCAGGGCATTCCTAAATATATTGTAAAAATGCTCTGGTGGAATGCTAAGCTGCTAGGCAATCTAGCAGAGCATTACGAAATATATTGTAAAAATGCTCTGCTGGAAAGCTAAGCTGGCTAGGCAATCTAGCAGGGCATTACTAAATAAAGTGTTAAAATGCTCTGCAGGAATGCTCAGCTGGCTAGGCACTATAGCAGAGCATTCCTTAATATAGTGAAAAAATACTCTGGTGGAATGCTCAGCTGGCTAGGCAATCTAGCAGAGCATTACTAGATATAGTGTAAAAATGCTCCGCTGGAATGCTCAGCTGGCTAGGCAATCTAGCAGGGCATTACTAAATATGGTGTAAAAATGCTCTGGTGGAATGCTAAGCTGGCTAGGCAATCTAGCAGGGCATTCCGAAATATAGTTAAAAAATGCTCTGGTGGAATGCTCAGTTGGCAGACTGATTCTGAGTTCCAGGTTTATTTGTTGCCAAAGTTTTATTGACATTTTCGACTTCTAAGGCAATTCTGAGGCACTCGCAGACTTTCAGAAATTTTCGGGTGCCAATAGAAATAATGATATTTTTTACTTCTAAGGACCTTTAAGAGACTATTTTTCATTGTCCTGCGACTTTTTGAAGGACACTTCGCAGACTTTCAGGAATTTTGGTGCCAATGCTAATATTGACAATAAAGACTTCTAGGGACCCTCAAGAGTCCATTTTGGTTTGTCTGCGACGGATTCTTGGACACTCGCAGACTTTCAGGAATGGTTGGTTGCCAATGTAAAGAAACCATATTTTGACTCTAGGACCTTTAAGAGTCCATTTCCTTGGCCTGCAGTGTATTGTTGGACACTTGCAGACTTTCAGGAAAGTTTATGGCAAAAGAGATGATGGCAATTTTTACTTCTATGGACCCGCCAGAGTCCATTTTTATGGTCTGCGACTGATTTTGGGACACTTGCAGACTTTCAGGAATTTTGATGCCAATGGAGATAATGACATTTCTTGACTTTTAGGGACCCCAGGACTTACATTTCTTTTGGTCTGCGACTGATTCCTTGAGACTCGCAGACTTTCAGGATGTTTAAGTGCCATTGCAGATCATGACTTTTTTTACTTTTAAGGACCCCTTAGTCATAAGGAGAGCATTTTTACCCTAAAATGTCATTATTTGCATTAGCACCAAAAATTTCCTGAAAGTCTGCAAGTGCCCAATAATCAGTCGCAGACCAACGAAATAGACTTCTGGATGGTCAAAAATGTCATAAATTGTAATTATCTCTTTTGGCACCCAACAATTCCTGAAAAGTCTGTGACTGTCCAAGATTAAGTCGCAGACCAAACAAATGGACCCTGGATGGTCCCTAGAAGTAAAAAATGTCATTATCTGCCTTGACATACAAAATTTCCTGAAAGTCTGTGAGTGCCTCAGAATCAGTCGCAGACCAAAAAAATGGCTTAAGAAAGGTCCCAATAAGTCAGAAATATCATTTCTGCATTGACACCAAAATTAACGAAAAAGACTCAGGAGGGTCAACTTTTTGAAGTAAAATGTCATTATCTCCATTGGCACCGAAAATTTCTGAATGTCTGCGAGTGTTCCAGAAACATTCGCAGACCAACGAAATGGACTCTGGATGGTCTAAAAATTCACAAATGTCCTTATCTGCATTAACGCAAAAAATTCCTGAAAGTCTGCGATCGTCCCAGAATCAGTCGGAGACCAAAGAAATAGACACTTTGAGGGTCCCGTAGAAGTAAAAAATGTCATTATCTGCATTGGCACGAAATATTTCAGAAAGTCTACGAGTGCCAAATAATCAGTTTGCAGACCAACGAAATTTATATTTTTATTAAGAATGCCCTGCTAGTTTGCCTAGACAGCTCAGCATTCCGGCAGAACATTTTTACACTAATTTTCAGAATGCTTTGCTGGATTGCCTAGCCAGCTGAGCATTTTTAACACTATATTTAGGAATGCCCTGCTAGATTGCTAAGCTAGCTGAGCATACCAGCAGAGCATTTTTCGCACTATATTTTGGAACGCTCTGCTAGATTGCTTAGCCAGCTGAGCTTGCCAACAGAGCATTTTTACACTATATTTAGGAATGCTCTGCTGGATTGCCTAGCCAGCTGAGCATTTTTAACACTATATTTAGGAATACACTTCAAGAGTGCCTAGCCAGCTGAGCAATTCAGCAGAGCATTTTTACACTATATTTTGTAATGTCCCGCTAGATTGCTTAGCCAGCTGAGCATAACAGCTAAGCATTTTTACACTATATTTAGAAATGCCCTGCTAGATTGCCTAACCAGCTGAGCATACCAGCAGATCATGTTTACACTATATTTTGGAATGCCCCGCTAGATTGCTTAGCCAGCTGAGCATAACAGCAAAGCATTTTTACACTATATTTTGGAATGCCCCGCTAGATTGCTTAGCCAGCTGAGCATAACAGCGGAGCATTTTTACATTATATTTTGGAATGTCCCGCTAGATTGCTTAGCCAGCTGAGCATAACAGCAGAGCTTTTTACACTTTATTTAGTAATGCCCCGCTAGATTGCTTAGCCAGCTGAGTATAACAGCAGAGTATCTTTAACACTATATTTAGGAATGCCCTGCTAGATTGCCTAGCCAGCTGAGCATATCAGCAGAGCATTTTTACGCTATATTTTGGAACGTCCCGCTAGATTGCCTAGCCAGCTGAGCATACCAGCAGAGCATTTTTACACTTTATTTAGTAATGGCCTGCTAGATTGCTTACCCAGCTGAGCATACGAGCAAAGCATTTCTACACTTTATTTTGGAATGGCTCTGCCAGCTGAGCATAACAGCAGATCATTGATTTCCCTATATAAAATCGCAATGCCTTTTTGCTTAGCTCACTGTTAACTGCTAACTTCTTACATACGTTTTTATAAATACATAAATAAGAACCCCCCCCCCCCCCCCCCCCCCCCCCCCCCCAAAAAAAAAAAAATCAGAAATTCAAAATTGCTAAAACGGTGTGATGTTGTAATTTCATATTTAGATTCTAACCCCAGTGTTATTGACAGTGATTGCTTTTCCCAGGCCAACATCATGAACATGTACGTGTGTGCATGTCACACCTGACTGTGTCATGTCGTCTGCTTGATTTAACTATTGTTGCTCAAAGTACTAAGTGTCAGCTTCAAAGCAGGACAACACACTTATAACTTTGTCGTAATTTTAAAAGACGACCACAGATGTCCCTACGTGTGTTAGTTTTGGTGAAAGCGGAAAACTTGGCGAAACCGTTTTAAGGTGTATTGGTCCCTTAAATGACGGAAATCAAAAAAAAATATGGCGGGATTCAAACCTTTGAAGTCATAGACCTGAATCACTGAGTCATAGTGGAACCTCATTTACATATACCGGTATTTTTTAGGGTAAAGATGAGTATAAAAAAATGACATGCATTTGATATTTATAAATATTCTATTTATTAATTGCATTTACAAAGCGCAGTAAATCTGGTCTATTTATGGCATTAAGTGCACATTCTTTGTGGAAAACGGTGTAACGACAGATTTGCTGTTCTACACCAATAACAAACGGAAATAAAAGATGCACGGTACCTTATAAACGAAAATATGGAGAAAAAAAGATATGTTTACTCACCATTCCGCAATCAAATTCCCCGGCAGACGACACTTGAGATTGGCATGCAAATAGCCCATGTCCGTTTAGATCTCTGTAGAAAGCAACGTTCTGAAATTGTAACATAGATGCTTTGCGAAACGTGCCAAGTTTTCACGAAATTATCATATATAATTCAACAGAAATTTACCATTATCCTGTCGAATTTGTGAATTTGATTTGTCTTTCTTGCTTTGTATTTAGAACAGTCTATTCAAAGAAACGCTATGCTCAAATTTGTTATTAAAATATTGATAATTGCTACACAGTCTGGTTGTTTTTTTTTGTTTTTTTTTAAGAAAAGAACAACTTTATTTGACCTGTAATAAGGAACGCAGCTTCCCTTACATAGTTTATTCTTTTATTCAAATAAGACATATTCAGTAAGAATTGCATAGATTTCAATAAATTTCTGTGATTAAAATATATATATATTACTCAAGGATCAGCATAGCATATCTTTATGCGGTTTTCATGTTTAAATATAAAACATTGAGCAACCAATGGCCTTGTCGGACTGCAGAAATATGCCTGGCGTTAAATTGGTGGCAAATGCTATTTACTTTCGGTTCAAGCAGGGAAGTTAAGAAAAGTCCAAGGCGCAACACGACCTTACAACAATATATCTTATCGATGAAAAGGTGTAATTTCAGAAATTTATAACGTTGAGTAGCAATTAAATCACAAGAAATAGATTGATAATAACATATCCGTCAGATTTTAAATATTATACTGAATTTGACCTTACCTTTGCTTACATTGAAACAAAACACTTTTATTACTAAATATGCCAGCGAGTAATTCAAATTCCAGATAAAAGCTTCTAATTTAGGATTTTCATTAATTTACGAATATTTTCATGACAAGAAGTTGAACACAATTGAGAGTGAAAGATTTAAAACAAAATTAAATTTATATAATGCATCTAGTATAAAGGCAGATTTATTCCAAGAAATAAATCCGATTTCCCGCTAAACGTTTTGTTGAAGGCGAAATAATTTGCCAAAAAATAGCAAAACGTACAGTGGTACTTCCATTCCATCATAAACATCAGAATGAAAAATAAAAAAATAAAAATAAAATAAAATAAAATAAAAAAATAAAATAATAAATAAAAATAAAATAAAATAAAATAATAAATAAAATAAAATAAAATAATAAATAAATAAATAAATAAATAAATAAATAAATAAATAAATAAATAAATAAATAAATAAATAAATAATAAATGGTCCGTCACTAACCTTTGAATTTGTATCTGATTTTCGGGAGAATTTTCCCACCTCGTCTTGCTGATAAGCATTTGGCAACACGTGGGCACGGTCTCGTTTTAGATGCAATGCTTTTTCAGCGTTCTCATCCAGCGTTAGTGTATACGTCATTTCCTCTGGAAAGCCATCTGCGTTTCCGGTGTCTCGTTTAGTTTCGAATTTTTCTGCGTTGTTCTCTCTTATGTTTCGCCACGATGTTTTTGTTAATTTAAAAGGTTTTGCTGTCCCTGATAAAGAATAACAAGCTTTTAAGGTGCGCAGGTTTACTTTCTTTTTTATTTTATATTTAAGCGGAAAGCCTCAAAAATGAGTATGAGATGGTTGTCTTTTTATATAAAAACGACTTGGAGAAAAATTAGTTACAATTCTTCACAACATTTTTTTTTAGTTTGCAAAACAATATATTACACCATGGAGGTAAATATAAGATTATATATCTGTGATTACACCAACCATACCTTGGACTACCTCTCTCCCCCCATCCTGTCCACATTAAGTATTCAAAACAACAATATTAGATAATTTTCATTCCTTCCTTACAGTATAACTTTGGTAACCACCCAAGTTCATTTTCATGTCATTATTTGTCCAAAACTCAAATCATTTTTTAAACAGTGTCTAGCCAGTTTTAACTGGAGTTTGTCTTAGACATGGATATTAACAGGAATAATTGTCCTAAACAGTCATTTGATTTACACTAAATCGAAACGTCGTTTTAAGAATTTAAGAGAAACTGGAAAATCTCCACAATAATGTAAGTTAGAAACATTTACCTTTGAAAACATCCATCGACATTGACGTCGCCTCCACAAATATCCCAACCAAACAAATCAGTGTCGGTAAATTATTCATTTTCCTCTAATTCTGTGGGAAAAGAATATATTTGCATTTCATGCAATGGCTTTTGTATGTCTTATATTTTTTTCTTAAATCGATACAAAAAAATGCTGATTTTGTCAAAAATCGTATATAATATTAATTAAGACAGTGATAATTGACACGACTTTTGCCGCTCCTTGTGACAGAGACGCTTATCTTATTTCTATATAACCCGGAAAAGAACGAAATATTCCGAATTGAGATCCTGATGAAAGCATAAAACGCTTTATAACTAGGATTAACGGCGTAACAAACATGCAGTATTATATAATGATTTTTAAGTTGGAAATCGTCTTTCTTTTAGAGTATCTAAAAAAAATATAAACACATTTAATTCTAATATTTGACCGCCAAAACGTTAATTTCTCTTTAAACTAAATTTATATGAAAAAATACACATAAAAACAACGAAATTACCAATTTTTGCGATAGACGTTGTCGTTGCCTTGATCAGAATAAATATATTACCGGTTGAGCGTCGTTTTATGCGATATAAATATATCAAAGTCAAATTAACATCCGGTCAACTGTGAAATTATTATCAGCATTATCCGCAAGTGGGTGTTATTTTAAAAGATTAACGGATAATACCATGTCCAGTAGAAATCAATGTTAATATTATTTACGCAAAAGAAAGATAGCCATTGGTCAAAATAAAACCGCAAACAAGCCAATGTCACCTTAGGTTAAAAAAGTTCGTGCCCGCAATGTTTTATCTTTATCATATCCATTTCAATTTATTCCATCCTTATTCATAATACGTATGAAAGAATGACCTTGCCTGAAGATTTCGTGTTGTTAGAGAGTTGTTTTTTGTTTGTTGTTGTTTTTTATTTACAGTTGCATAAATACATTTGATGTTGTTTTTGTGTAGTTTTTTTAACTTTCGTTCCAGTTTAGTACGCATAGCATGAATAAGCGATATTCGATGTAGCATTGTCGCGAATTTAATGACATCATAGGTTAATCATATTCATAACTTATTCATTACAGAATCCCCTATATTGAACTTTTGTGACTTCAAAAGTATGATATTAATTTTAACTACCGGTATATGTTTTGTAATTTATAAAGATTTTGACAGGTTATATGGCCCTTTATAATAATGCAAATAAAATTCTCGAATTTTTAATTGGCTTTAACACCGTATATACCGCAAAGAACCGAAGCACGCACAACTAACAATGTATTTGTTAACTACGTGTGTGCATACCATTCTTGTTATTGCGTTTTGTTTATCACAGCATATTTCTTGATTCAAACTGCGTTACTTCAGATTTACACTTGAACTCCTTTTTCTGGCGCAGCGTTAGTGTAGTAGTTGATTACGTGGGTCTATTTCCGTGCTTTTTTGTAAACAGTTTAAAGTTTCTGGGTTCTTATCAACTTTTCGTGAATTAAAATTTGCGTTATTATAATATCGTTTTACAAGTTGCTGACGGAATATACGAGAGAATATTCCCCTTCTTGACATAAATATAACCATCGGCTAGCGCCTCGGTTCATATTTATCTCATTCGAGCTATATTCTTCTGTATATCCCGTCAATTAATACTATAAACTTTATTTGCTTCAAGTTTAAGGAAAAGAGGTAACATGAAATATCCCAACGTTCTACCATCAATGTATTTTTATCTATATAGAGGGAAGAAAAATTAATAACACCAAAAACTGCAACTGTAGGCTTTAGCTCTTACGACGGCCGCTCAGCGGTGAAACGACGTTTCGTCACAACGATGACGTGCGGCGCCCAATAAAATTGTTAGCAATCATATAAGTCTGGAGACACCCGTCAATAGTTCGGGAAAGACAAAATAAACTGCATCCATACATAGGATTGTCCCACTAGAATCATTTTAGTAGAAAAACTGTGGACTCGAAGGTAAAATATGATTTAAAAGAAAGAGTCGACGGATTTTCTATAAAAAATAGCCCCAGTGGAAGCATTCAGCAGTTGCGCGATGACGTAGTATCCTAACATTGCATTACAAACGTTTGAAATAATAAAATACTGATTTATACTTACATTGTATATTTACTTAGTATGCAATCCTTCTACTTCACTCAACTCATCTGTTATGAAACAATATTGGTTAATAAACATATTATAATAACTTCATACAGGACTGTCCCTCAAAACAATTGCTTGATAGAAATCTCTCTTCACACCTCGAGGTGACATTTGAACTAATTATTATTTCGATTCTGTATATAATTTCTGTTTATTCTACAGCTGTCCCACAACCTTTTATGAGATAATGCCTCTTTGGAAACAATATAATATCTCTTTAAATCAAAAGAGATGTATGCAAACTACTAATTAACAAACAAACTTGTTTAGTAAACAAAAACAGGTGCCCAAACTTGTTGACCAATACGATCGACTATAGGTCATCGTTCGAAAGCTTGAACAGTACATTTAACAAGTTCAGCAGGATATTGATCAGACTTGCAAAACTGTACAGTCTATCACGTGTCAGCATTATTTGCTCCTCACGTTTAAAGGCACATTATGCTTCAGAAATAATCGTTTTACAAGTTGCTGACGGAATATACGAGAGAATATTCCCCTTCTTGACATAAATATAACCATCGGCTAGCGCCTCGGTTCATATTTATCTCATTCGAGCTATATTCTTCTGTATATCCCGTCAATTAATACTATAAACTTTATTTGCTTCAAGTTTAAGGAAAAGAGGTAACATGAAATATCCCAACGTTCTACCATCAATGTATTTTTATCTATATAGAGGGAAGAAAAATTAATAACACCAAAAACTGCAACTGTAGGCTTTAGCTCTTACGACGGCCGCTCAGCGGTGAAACGACGTTTCGTCACAACGATGACGTGCGGCCGCCCAATAAAATTGTTAGCAATCATATAAGTCTGGAGACACCCCGTCAATAGTTCGGAAAGACAAAATAAACTGCATCCATACATAGGATTCTCCCACTAGAATCATTTTAGTAGAAAAACTGTGGACTCGAAGGTAAAATATGATTTAAAGAAAGAGTCGACGGATTTTCTATAAAAAATAGCCCCAGTGGAAGCATTCAGCAGTTGCGCGATGACGTAGTATCCTAACATTGCATTACAAACGTTTGAAATAATAAAATACTGATTTATACTTACATTGTATATTTACTTAGTATGCAATCCTTCTACTTCACTCAACTCATCTGTTATGAAACAATATTGGTTAAAAACATATTATAATAACTTCATACAGGACTGTCCCTCAAAAACAATTGCTTGATAGAAATCTCTCTTCACACCTCGAGTGACATTTGAACTAATTATTATTTCCGATTCCTGTATATAATTTCTGTTTATTCTACAGCTGTCCACAACCTTTTATGAGATAATGCCTCTTTGGAAACAAATATAATATCTCTTTAAATCAAAAGAGATGTATGCAAACTACTAATTAACAAACAAACTTGTTTAGTAAACAAAACAGGTGCCCAAACTTGTTGACCAATACGATCGACTATTAGGTCATCGTTCGAAAGCTTGAACAGTACATTTAACAAGTTCAGCAGGATATTGATCAGACTTGCAAAACTGTACAGTCTATCACGTGTCAGCATTATTTGCTCCTCACGTTTAAAGGCACATTATGCTTCAGAAATAAATAAATATATTTACTTCTTTAGAAATGGCTTACATGAATTTTGTAATGTTTGAATAATGGTTTTCAAAGCATGTTAGATGCTTGTTACCTGAAGTAATTAGCGCTAAATGTAACATAATTTGTCATAAATGCAGCAAAATGTAAACCGCAATGTAAGAAGCATTTGACTTCCTTACAAAATGCTTTATCACTACGACTGTACGAATTGCAAATAAGCAAAAGAAGGAAAGGAATGTTCAGGAAATTGGCTAATAATTAACTTTTTGGAAGCAAAGATAAAACGTTTCTGAGAAATAAAATTAAAAGCATTACTGGGGCATAATGGGCCTTTAAACTTTGTTCTTGCCGCAAATAACAGTACCTTTTTCTATTACAAGCAGGATAAGTCGAGTATACAAAGTCATATAAGTTAATTTGGCAAAAAATGCCACCAGGATAATATTTACAAACAAAGTGTGTAATATAGCCCCCACATTTAATGCATATAAAACGTTTCTGAAACGTTCACGTTTCGCCGAAATTAACTACTTCTATAATTAGAATAAACTGAAAAGTGGAAAAAAAATCTAAACTCAAGATTTTAAATGAAATTATATATGAGCTTTTTTAAAAAAATCATAGCGAACTGGAAAGGACGAAAAACTGTTTTCCCGCTCAATTTGCATGACTATAGTTGTATACGTCACAATTCAAAATATATCTGTGAGGATTAGACCCTCCTTATTTATAACAATAAAGAAATGGTATATCTTTAGAATTATGCCCTTTGACAAAGAGGCGAACAGATATTTGTCCCCTTCTCGTATGAGAAAGGGAATCCTTAGATGCGTGTATGTGGTCGCACGATCATTTTTCTACCAACATGTCATCGATGAATATATGTGGTCGCACTGGTCGAAATTCTCAAAAAACTGGGCAAAGTTTTCAAACGTGTTTTGGTCCAGAAACGCCCCTGATGCCAAATTTTATTCTTAAAAACTAACTCTGGAAATAGAGTTTTAAAAGCCAAATAAGGACACCCTTCGAATTACGTATGGAAAATGTGCCCATTGTAGACCAATCCACTTTGATAAATAGCGTTGATACATTTCAAGTAGAAATATATGCAATATCAGTCAATCTTTGATTGTACCATACTATATTTTCATAAAAAACACCATGCCTTGGTTTGCACTATGGAATATTTGCATACTACATAATATGAGCCGTGTCATGACAAAACCAACATAATGCGTTTGCGACCAGCACGAATCCAGACCAGCCTGCGCATAAGGTTTGTAAGCGAACAGCATGGATCCTGATCAGACTGCGCGGATGCGCAGGCTGGTCTGGATCCATGCTGGTCGCAAACGCACTATTTTGATTTGTCATGACACGGCTTGTTATGTAATGCTTTAGGAGAAGAATCAACTGCATTATGCCAGTTTTGTGAATAACAATCAAATAAGCGTTGCTTAAACATATTAATGAAATTTAAGTCATCACCGACATCATGAGAGATCCATACGTATCCAAAACCAAATTGAAAAAGCATATCTTTGATGTTGCCAGCCCATGTTTTCCGTCCAGATTCGTGTAGTCGTTTTAACATCAAATAACAATGTTTTGGGTACCTATGATCTCCCATACGTGTCAGTTTTAACCAGTAGTTAACACAATTTGTCATATAGATAGTACAGAGAGGTAATCTTCCACATTCACCAAGAGCAAAATAGCTTGTTGTATTTTGTGATAAGTTACAATATTGTTCACAGAATTTAAGTTGTTAATTACCAACATGTTAATTAATTTGGCAAAAAATGCCACCAGGATAATATTTACAAACAAAGTGTGTAATATAGCCCCCACATTTAATGCATATAAAACGTTTCTGAAACGTTCACGTTTCGCCGAAATTAACTACTTCTATAATTAGAATAAACTGAAAAGTGGAAAAAAAATCTAAACTCAAGATTTTAAATGAAATTATATATGAGCTTTTTTAAAAAAATCATAGCGAACTGGAAAGGACGAAAACTGTTTTCCCGCTCAATTTGCATGACTATAGTTGTATACGTCACAATTCAAAATATATCTGTGAGGATTAGACCTCCTTATTTATAACAATAAAGAAATGGTATATCTTTAGAATATGCCCTTTGACAAAGAGGCGAACAGATATTTGTCCCCTTCTCGTATGAGAAAGGGAATCCTTAGATGCGTGTATGTGGTCGCACGATCATTTTTCTACCAACATGTCATCGATGAATATATGTGGTCGCACGGTCGAAATTCTCAAAAAACTGGGCAAAGTTTTCAAACGTGTTTTGGTCCAGAAACGCCCTGATGCCAAATTTTATTCTTAAAACTAACTCTGGAAATAGAGTTTTAAAAGCCAAATAAGGACACCCTTCGAATTACGTATGGAAAATGTGCCCATTGTAGACCAATCCACTTTGATAAATAGCGTTGATACATTTCAAGTAGAAATATATGCAATATCAGTCAATCTTTGATTGTACCATACTATATTTTCATAAAAAACACCATGCCTTGGTTTGCACTATGGAATATTTGCATACTACATAATATGAGCCGTGTCATGACAAAACCAACATAATGCGTTTGCGACCAGCACGAATCCAGACCAGCCTGCGCATAAGGTTTGTAAGCGAACAGCATGGATCCTGATCAGACTGCGCGGATGCGCAGGCTGGTCTGGATCCATGCTGGTCGCAAACGCACTATTTTGATTTGTCATGACACGGCTCAATTATGTACACTATATTATTCAGTTATCGATTGCAACATATTTTATAGTATTTCATTAAAATTGTTTTAATATGGCTATAAAGACGGGACTTCCGAATCGTAACTGAAGTGGAGCAAAATGTTATGGGGCGAATCGTTGGTGGAGCGAATTGTTTAATAACTTAAATTTTACCAGAGAGGGGTCGGAATGATTGAAAAACGAAAAACTGTATAAGCATTTTAGTATTGGGCAATGTTATGCATTAAGTTTAAAGAATGTTTGAATGTTGACGATTTCAAACATGTTTGTTCACCGAAGAGGAGGTTGGGCGTATTAATATGCAGTAGTAGGCATTTTTATATGTAAAAGGGTGTTTAAACATTATCATGAAATTGACATTAAGGCGAGGGTACAGATCATCGTTCTTTCAGTCCTAATAACGCTTTACCTGCTGAATGTGTGAGACAACTTTACCTTGCTTTACATTTTGAACAGCCTGTTTATAGTTTTAGGATATCAAACTAAACAAATTGGGCCACAGACAGTATAGAACCTGGTCAGAATTTGTCAGGTTGGTCTGGCTTTGTGTTAGTTATAAAGGCTCATCACTTCCGGTTCCTGCAGTGATGGTTCCGGCAGTGATAACAGAAATGTCAAGTTTACAGAAATGCATGCTCTCCTGGTCACAACTATCCAGGTAGGGTCTAAATAACGGGGTCGAAATACATGCATAATTGTTAATTAGTCGGGATAGTGGTGGCATAACGTAAAAGCGGGGTGGTCTCAATTTCGTATTGAAAGACCATTGAAATAAGAAAAGAAAAAATCCATTCTTTGAAAAATTGGTCGTAATAGCGGTTTGGTCATGAAAACGAGGAGGTCGTAACATGGGGCTTACTGTAGTGGAAAACGTTGAGGGATAAATAGTTTAAAGGAAAGGAAGTGAACACTTATGTTTGTAAAGTTTAATGCACCAAGAAAATGGAATGTTTTTGTAAGTACACAGTGTATACATGTCTAAAACACCAAAGAAAAAAATTCAAAGCTTAGTAGTATAACAAAGTTGTAATATTTTAACATGTAAATTTTCAACATGTTTATCACACCAACAAGAGTCGCGTTCTATAGAATGTAACAAGAGCTGTAACAGAACTCATCAAGATGTATTATTATACAGTAAAAGGGTCTGTGGGATAGTGTGCTTTCTTGAATTCGGTTTAACGTGTACATATATGATTTCAAAATCATTTTGTTTCCAAAAAGTCCTTTATGATGAAATATCTGAAAGATTAAAATTGAAAGATATTTAATGATGAAATTTGCAATAATGATGTCTATAAATATTAACTTCAAAACAATTTAAAATTGTATAATTTAACAGTTCCCCTAGGGATTTTTCAAAATCCATTGTGTAATATATAGGTTGTTATAGTCGATAAATTCATCAATATGTTGGGCCTTTAAAGCCTTTGGGTGGTTTAACATTAATAAGCTCTCTACAGCAATAGCACGATTTTGATTTGTGTTTATTTCGCCCTCTTTTACAGCACTGCTTTCTTCGATTCACTTTTTTGTAGCCACAACAAGTACATGGAGCCTTAACCGTCGGCTTTTTAACCGGTCTATCGTCCGTTGTGATGATATGCGTCGTTGTTGATTCCGTCGTCGATGATGTCATTGTGCTGGTACTCGTTGACGTCGACGTAGTGACGTCACATATAGCGAATTTAGCCGTACATTTTCCTTGGTAACACACCTTTACAGAAGAGAATAAAACTTGCATGTAAAAAAATATTAAAAATCATATATCTAGATGTACTCAGATTTAGGTTGTTAATTTTTTATGAATGTGTGTAGGTCTATAAAAATCGAGTATGAGTGATATGATTTATATATCACTGACAATGGCCTGTATCATATATTTCACTGGTCAATATGAAATTGGCATTTTGGATATCCGGTGACAATAACGCGGTAGATAATGACATGACGTTTATGGTTACGCTCACTGACAATTTGGTGTGCGTCCTAAACTGTGTTCTATATGAAATCCAAGACATTAATAGCCTACGCGGAATATTGATGAATGGCCGCCATATTGTGAACAAGCGTACCTTAAAAGTCACGAGATTCCCTACCAAGCACAAACTGATACACTGTTCGTAAGGTCAAAGCTTGAAGGTTTCTTCAGCAGAATGATAACGATCGCCGAAATCGAAACAGTGCCCTTATCCCTGAGTTTGAATCCCTCAATGACATTTTTTGAAAATCTTTTAAACTAGGAAGCTTTAAAATTAGCATATGGAATGCCAGTGGTTTTATTTATGCGACAAAATTATACAAAACTTAACATTGGACGTCTTCATTCGCTTGTAAACCTAGGAAGTTCATATGTGTCATTGATAATGTGGGTAAGGCTTTAAAACACAACAAAAATATTTTAAAAGAAACCTACCTTGTCTGATCCACATGGAGTACCGTTCCACACATATTTTAGATAGGCCTCACATTTTCCGCCTTCAACTTTACACCTAATGCGATATCTAGCATAGCAATCTATATCACTTTCAGGTGTCTGAAATTAAATACAACCGCATAGAAAAGAAAAGATTACATACAGACTGATATAAGTGAAACACCTGTTGTAGTTATTAATTATTACACTGAAATTTTAACAAAATTCTGTCCTGTTGCTTAGAATGTTTAAAAGTATTCTTTACACAGTCCGTCACTTGCTGTGCTTGTTTTGTAGCTACACTCCGGGTCACGGTGGTAAGCATATTTCAAATTCACCAGAGCACAGTTCGGTGACACCCAACTTTTTTCATTCAAATATGTCTGTCATCGTATTCTAACAACATTCCAAGTTTTAAAGAAATTCAATAGAAATTCTTTAAACGAAACTTCTTGATGTTATTGTCACAATAAAGTCCTGAAGATAAGTTAAATTAGTTGTACCGGATTCAATTTCTATAAGTTATAAATCCATTGAACTGTATATGAAATCCTAAAACGGACCACGTGACAGGCAATCGGCTCAAGATCACGTCACCTTGATTTCATAGGAAAACGGTCTGATTTGGAAGCAAAGTTTATTAGACATATGGTTTAAATGCATGCGTACAGCGATTTAGTGCAACGTTTACGTTTCCACTTTTCAGAACGGACGACTCTAATGCCCATGTATGAGAGCCCTCATATTGGTATCCCTAAACTAATGACGTCATAGCGAAAAACACCTTCTCACGTGAAAAAAATACTAAAAATAGGTATTACGTAAACAGTCGATTCCAGTTTTTACGATGTTACCTTAAACCGATTCATTAGGGTCCGCAAAAGTATAAGAATATGAAGTATCAGTGACTTTCTACTTACACTGCAGGCTGTACTTCCACTCCAACCCGTAACCCTTTGGCACTGAAGATCTAAACTACCGGCCTGTGACCCGGGTAAACCGGAACAGAAATAGTCTTCAAACTGAGACTGGGTAAAACTATTATCTGTGGTGCATTTCGGTAAATTATTTGATCTGCAAGTATTATAAAAATGTACCGTTTGATTGTAGTCGAGTTATTTTGAAATAAAGCTTAAGAGGTTGCTGTTTTTATTGGTCTCTTACAACATTTAATGTATGTATAAATCGTATTATTGACACATGTGACATAGGGTCTTATGATATTTGGCAGAAAAAAATACATGTACTAGTGGTGTTAAGCCTAAACTTGTTAATGGAAATTAAAAAAAAAAAAAAAAAAAAATCATTTGTAAAAAGGGGGATTTGAGCTACGTCTTAAGTTCTGCAGATTGGGTTTTTTATGTTTTATTTATTTATTTTTATTTGATTTATTAAAATAAGTTTAATGTCTTTAATCTTTACAAATATCGAACAAGAATACCTGTCGTCTTTTAGGTAATTTCACTGACAATAAATTACGTAAATGTTACAATACTGCTCAAAGGTACATTATGCCTCAGAAATCCATATTTTCCAGTTCTTTTGGAATGTCAAACGATTAGAGCATGTTAGATGTTTTACTTCTGAAAGAATTTCTACGCTGAACATGCAGTTATATGTAGTAAAAGTACCAAAATGTAAACAAAGTAGTATTTTGATTTCCATACAGAATACTAATTCACCATATTTATACCAATTGACAACAGAGCTAAAGAAGCAACAAATATTTCATGTTCATGTATATAGCAGATGAAACTGTTAATCTGAGGCATAATGGGCCTTTGAGTGACACAATTAGGAAATTATACCCTTACCCATCGAGATGAGACTTCATGTTTTCAATGCTACATTTTGAAAATTTAAAAAATGTATCCAGCGTTTTAGAGGTAGGGTTAAATATAGATGGCGACATGACATATTTATCTCTAGGGCACTCGTCGTTGTCGTCGTGCTGCATTCCCATGCTGAAAAAAAGGAACATAAATGCAATATTGATGCATATGAATTCTTTGTTAAAGTAGATTTAATTTCATGTAGTTCTAAGACAAACTTTCAAAGATGTTCCCCAGATTAAAAGATGGACAAGTGTATTTAAGATAGGGTTATATTTGACATAGTTATGAGGAATTTCTTTCTTTTAGCTTATAGATATGAAAAGAAACATTTCACGGAATGTAATGCCCAAGAGTGCATTAATTATGTCATCTTACTATCGTATAAGACAAGCACCCGTTAAATTGCTGTTTCCATTCACAATTCTACATCAACTTAATTCAAGAGCATACACTATTATTAAAAACCAAAAATTAATTATTGGCACTGCTTTTTCCAGTATCATTCTCTCAAATTCTTGGTGAATTCTTGATAATATGGGATTACATTTCAATCAAGATAAGGTGTCACGTGCTCAACTTACGCATGCCCGAGTTCGTGCGCAGCGATCCTTCCGATGTTGTATGACGTCACCTCGTTGATTGAGTATTTATAGTAAGAATAATAATGCCAGGACGGATAACACATGGTACTTCTGTATGCGTATCCTGCAAAATAGCAAACGCTTGTTGATCAACGTAGACGGACTACTTTCGGACTACTTTCTTAATTAGCAATGGCGAAAGACAAATTAATGAAAATAGAGGGAAAACGCTGTGTAAAATCAATACAGAAAATAATATGCAAGGTGTCATTTATTAATTCATTCTTAATTATAAAAAAAACTTTCTAATATATGTAATTAGAAACAGGTGCGAGGTTTCCGATATTTAATATTGCACGTGATCATTTTTTGTTGTTGAAACTTTCAGTCAACTATCTATCTTACTGATCCATCATAGTATGACAATGAAACGGTCGTAAAGAGGAATGAAATCACAGAACTTGAAATTTCTACATATTATATGATGATAGTATAAATTCAATGGAACGATTTCAAGGCATTTTGAATACCGTTCAACGCGTCAAAGATATAAAATGGATGACACAAATTTCAATTCTACCCCTGTTAATTTCGATGACAAAGAATAGAGCATACCGGACTCATGCCTTACACATATAGTAATTGAATGATCTTACCTAGCAATGAACTGGACTGATCTTCCACGTCATACAAGTCTAGTCTAAAATTGCAAAATAAATACATGTTATAAATACACTAAAAATACAACTCCAGTGATAATACCGCTGCTGCTGCTGATGATGATGATGATGTTGCTGCTGATGATGACGATGTTGCTAATGTTGATGATGATGATGATGATGATAATGATGATGATGCCGATGATGATGTTGATCCCAATGTCGATCACAATGATGATGGGGAGGATGATAAGGAGGATGGTGATGACCTATTCATGATAAAATGTTAGCAACATATATGAACATCATCTTATGGTTGTTATACAGTTAATGTTTATATCTGTTTGCCGTGGTGAAGTCAATTATTTAAATATAAATGAACTTTACCCTGTTAGCACCATCATATGATCCCATTGTTTCTTGCTAAGTCCAGCATTAACTGTTTCCCGTAGTTTAGTGTCAAAGTCCTTGTCAGCACGTAACGTTTTGCCATCCTTATGATTTATCGCCCAAAGGTAATCATACCCTTTCTGAAAAAGAGGTCAAAGTTCAAGGAATGGAAAAAAGAGGTTAAAAGTCAAGGAATGGAAAAGAAGTCAAAGTTCAAAGCATGACATCATCATTGATTTTTTAATATATTTATCCATTTTTTGCCTGTATCAATGGTTTAGAGGATATCAATAATTTCAAGTTTGTTTGATTGTTTGGTTTGGTTTCACGGCGCTCCAACACAATTTAGGTCATTTGACGCCGAAAGTGGTAAGATGACTTTGGCTAAGCCAGCCCCAGCTGCTTCTTAATAAATTTAATATTACGGAAAATGAAGAAGTTTGTCGATTTTTAACGAAACATTATCGCTTGATGATGATGCGATCCCGTCATCCTTTCCATCCAGTGTCTTGTCAGTCAGCAATAGCTTTGACAGTCTCATGATTTCAAGAAAATTGGATAAATTTCAATCATAAAACAATCAGCATTTTTAGCAGACGACAATTTTCAAACAACGATAAAAGAAATCGTAGTGAAAAAAGTATAAAATCTAAGGTAAATTGAGTCTTATAACGGATAAGTTGACACATTAACGGAACATATGTGCGTTATAAGCTACTCTTTCTTTTTTCAAAGATGACCTCTAAACCAATTAAAGGTCCAGAAATTACCTCTGGAAAAATGATGTCTGCCGGATATGCATAGATATCTATAGATCCATCAGATACTTCGTATATTGTAGATAGATAAACGTTCATCTGGAAAACATATTTAAAAGCTTTAAATAGAATAAAAGAGTACAAACTTTAGTTAACATACCAACAGTTTTACGACATTCGGAGGATTAAAGCATGGGTGTAATTGGCTAATATTGTTAAAATCATTACTTAACTCCGCCACGGTCAAAACTCATATATTTGATTATTATTGGTGAAATAAATAAATTGCGTGCAGTAAAAACAAAACAAAAACGAAATTGTGACAGTATTCCTCGAACATAAATGAATGGCACGCTATCATAACTGTCTCTTAAACAATGAAAACACAGCGTGCAAAGGACTGTAACTCACAAAAGACTGCAAGGGGCTGTAACTCACGAAATACTACAAGGGATTGTAACTCACGAAAAATTGCAAGGGGCTGTAACTCACGAAATACTACAAGGTGTTGTAACTCGCAAAAGACTGCAGGGGGCTGTAACTCACGAAATACTACAAGGGGTTGTAACTCACGAAATATTGCAAGGGGCTGTAACTCACGAAATACTACAAGGGACTGTAACTCATGAAACACGGATACTAAGGAACGACAGGACTGAACAGAATATTCTATTCACAATTGTTTATTTTTCAAGTATTTACAAAGTGATCTTACCTCTGCTGTGAGCAGTGTCGCAAATATTCTTGCCTCATTTTCGGCTGCAACCGGGTCTTTTGGATACTGTTGGTGAAACCTTAAAACAGAAATAAAATTAGAAATGTGTCTGAACTGCTTTACATTTGTGCCGGACAAGGTTCTTGAACACGCTCGTGCACACACGCACGAACGGATAGGGTTTACAGGGTTACAACTAACTGTTAACAAAGATTCTGCTTCATCATTGTTGGTGTTTTTGTAAAAATCTTTAATTTTTGTGCTGTATGTGGGGGAGGGTGTGACAAAGAAATAACCCTTTTGCATAAACTTACTTATTCAATAAAGTTTGGTCGAGCATAAACGCTATCTCTACGGTTTTATGGCCGGGCTCCGGTAAAACATAGCGTTTCATACGGTCATGTAGTGTGTTCGGATCTGAGACTTTCGATCGTGAAACCTTCGATCGAGATGACCGCTTTAGCCTGTCCCTTTTGCTGACCGTCGCTTTTCCAGCAGGTGTCCATTGATGTTTGCCCTCTGCGAATATAACATAAATTCAGTAAACCGATGTAAAAGTTCACAATAGAGTTTTTGTTCTACAAACGGCACGCGTCTTTAAACAAGTTCATTCATTAAAATATATCTGTTTACAAAAGGAAGGTCTTTTTGGACTATAAAATTATATGGCGGACTATTATGAAAAGACATTCCCCTCCTATATTAAAATCCATGTAATCTGGAGAGGATGGTTGTTTTTGGCAAATACTTTTGTTATTTGGCACGACATGATATCTTATCATATACATGTACAAATGTAACTATTCTGCATGTGATTTCTGAATGTTAACATGTTTAACTTAGAGCTTACTGGCTTTTTTCAATAAACAAGTAATTAAAATAAGTAAAATATGCCCTTTGATAAAGGTAAGTCAAAGACATGTTAGTCATGATTTAATGTATTAATAGTTAATACATTATTCAAATATAACCTACAAAATGAACCTGTGCGTCCAGACAATTCGAACATAATTTAATTTTTAAGCAACTTCTGATTGGTTACAGAAAAATGGACATTGAACGATAAGATATATCGCAATATTTTTGCAGATAGATCTAAATAATATTGTGTGTTTACATTTACTGGCTTAATTCGTAATAATTGAATCTAATGTAGATCTAGAGCTATATAAGTTGAAAGAAAATAACAATAGTGTTTTTGGTGTGATTTAATCTTCAAATAACATTACTGTTTTTGGTGTGATTCAATCTTCAAATAACATTACTGTCACAAGTTTTCGTCTGCTTCAAGAGATTTACCTGGCGGCATGTCAAAATATTTGAGTTCCCCTTTGTCGGTATGCGTGCACTCGGCGTCGTGTCTCCCCGTACCGATGTAGCACGTTTCTTCACCAATGTCCAACAGAGCGGCCTATTTTGAAATAAGAATAAAAAATATTTTTAGAATTGTACACGAACATGCAATCGGAAGTTACTACGTGGTTCCAAATTCCCTTTCCCACAACGTTCAGCTTTTATGAATACATATAGCTCTATATTTTAATAAAATTATAAAAATATCATTTTGGGTTCGAACACTTGTCAGCGGTAAAGTAACAATAGTAATAGTTAAAACTCTTGTTATTTTTCTTCAAAATACAATGTATAACAGACCTTACCACAATTAGTGAGAAATGTAAACAAGTACATTACTATTCAAATATTTTAAATATTATTTTAAGACCAACGCTGTGTTACAGATGTTAAATTATGCGTACTGGTCCGAAATTATCCAACATCATCATAAAATATCTAGTGTTAGGGTATTTCATTTACATAGACTCATTACGTATGCTGTATTTAATAAATAAACACATAAATACATACCAATTCACAAAAGACGGACCCTTTGGCAGTCGTATGTGGTATACAAGCGAATGACCCATGTCCATTGGCGTCTGTGTAAAATGCAACTTCCTTAAAAAAAGAAAACAAAAGAGAAAAAAAATATGAATAGATGAAACGCTATTAGAGAAGCCTGATTTATTGCAAAATATCTGATGAACGTTTATAATAAATACAAGTACGTCGTTAAATTTGTTGTCACGTTCTCGTACCTGTACGGTGATCGCTTTTGAACACATTGCCGACTGGACTAAGGGCGAAAGGTAAAAAAATGACAAAAAAAAAATTAAACAAAATAAATCTGACAGGTCCGCGTGAGAAAAACTGTCAAGCAAAAAAGAAATGAAGTATGCATCTATTAAAAGCGAAATCCATCCATCCATCCATCCATCCATCCATCCATCGGTGTTCGTAGTGATGTACTCGGAGATCAATAATCAAGGTGATGTGCAGATTGTTCTATGAATAGTGCTCTTTGTACTCGGTGAACAATGTTCAGGGTGATTTGAGTTTGTACTCGGTGTACAATGTTCATGGTGATTTGAGTCTGTACTCGGTGTACAATTTTCATGGTGATTTGAGTTTGTACTCGGTGTACAATGTTTAGGGTGATTTGAGTTTGTGCTCGGTGTACAATGTTTAGGGTGATTCGAGTTTGTACTCGGTGAACAATGTTCAGGGTGATTTGAGTTTGTGCTCGGTGAACAATGTCCAGGGTGATTTGAGTTTGTGCTCGGTGTACAATGTTAAGGGTGATTTGAGTATGTGCTCGGTGAACAATGTTCAGGGTGATCTGAGTTTGTGCTCGGTGTACAATGTTTAGGGTGATTTGAGTTTGTGCTCGGTGAAGAATGTTCACGGTTAAATGAGTTGTACTCGATTGACAACGTTCAGGGTGATTTGAGTTGAACTCGGTTATTTATATCCGGGATGATTAGAGTTGTACTCGATTAACGATGCCCTGTGTGATGTTAATTGTACTCGGTGAACAATGTTCAGGGTGATGCGAGTAGTACTCGGTAATATTATATTCAGATGCTCGTTCATTGTTTACTTTTTTCTGGGGTGTCATATTGTGACAACAGGGAACGTGTTTTAATTTGTAACTATGATACAAAAGAGAAAGAACATCAAAACACTCGGCAATATGATTTATACTTGGGGGCTACGCCGTCTCGTACAAATCAGATAGCCTCGTGTTTCGATGCTCTTTCTATATCCTTGTGTACTGTAGGGTATTAAAAAATGCATTTAATGCCTACAGCTGATTGGAAGCTGAAGGCCCGTGCTGGGTGGTAGTAATTTGTTTTTATTTACGATGTTATCAAGTATTGACTGATATCAACTGATTTGTTGTCTTCATTGTTCCCACAGCTTTATAATCCTTTATATGTTTTTTATTTGTAATATTAGAATATTGTACCTTTGAAAAACTTAATATATGCGATATTAATCAAATAAAACTTCAGGGTACTTTATATTGTCCGAACAGCAATATTGCCTGAAGATTATTATTGTGATTTTGCACATTTCATTTATAGTTTCTTGTATAATGCTGCACGTTTGTAACGTAGCTTTTCATTATATAAATGTGACGTTTATTTATAACATGCTTTTCGGTGGTTTATAGAAATATATCAGTGATGTAAAAACTGGTAATTTCACTGTTCACTGTTCACTGTGAACACCAAAAGTTCATATTTCACTCGTGGCTGCGCCACTCGCGAAATATACCTTTTGGTGCTCACTCGGTACAATATATTCCGATCTTACACTGCCGATCTTACACTGAACTAAACAAATATCCTCTATATAATCTATATACAAGTCTGCAGTCGTTTAATGAAGTAATTTCATTTTTTTTTCTCTAATAAAGGAAGTTTGCAGTTTTATAAATTCGTTATACAGATATTTGACAGTTTATTTCGCCGTATATAAACTTTTATTTGCAATATAACCCTCGCCTAACGGTTCGGGTTATATATACAAACAACCTTTTATGTAGGGCCATATAACATGTCAAAAAAGTCTTAATAACTAATAATATTTGAGCCGCGTCACGACAAAACCAACATAATGGGTTTGCGACCAGCATGGATCCAGACCAGCCTGCGCATCCGCGCAGTCTGATCAGGATCCATGCTGTTCGTTTACCAACCCTTTTACAAGTAGAGAAACTGATAGCGAACAGCATGGATCCTGATCAGACTGCGCGGATGCGCAGGCTGGTCTGGATCCATGCTGGTCGCAAACGCATTATGTTGGTTTTGTCGTGACACGGCTCATTTGTGTAATTCAATACTACACGTTTGTGACGTCGCTTTTCATTGGCTAATCGTGACGTTTTTATTATCTATAAAAACGGTTAGGTGAGTAAGTAATTTCCGTCTGTTTCACAAATAGAATAATTATGCTGTATTATAGCTTTATTATAAAGATTTTAGACAAATTATATGGCCTAACGGCTCGGGTTATATATTGCAGATAACCTTTTACATAATGCCATAAACTCTTTTAGAAAAAAGCTGATAAATTTCAAACGAAACGAAAGATTCGTCATATTCTAAAATATAACCTCAAAATCTGGGCTAATTTGCATAAGCATGAACGGGCATTTTAAGAAAATATTGTTTGACAATATTTTCTTAAAAGATTCCATCAACTATTTACAGAAAAAATATGGACATTTTTGTTCGTACAAATTACGGAATGATTATCTAACAGAAATCGGTCCAAATAGCTTTAAATTAGCGAAAATGTGAGAGTTATTCTGCGTTAAATTAAAAGATAATCATCACAAACAAATCATGAAAGAGGAATGCCCTCAGCAAATATGACAACAGAAATGTGAATGCTCTGTTTCTAAGAGATATTATACAGTGCAACATCTACCACGCCTACTTACAAGTTAGACACGCCCTCTTACATATTAGAACACAAGCACCACAGGCGCTCATATTAAAAATTAAAATATCCCTCTCTTTGAGGCTTTTATATGTAACAACATTCTTTGATAACTATCACATGTTTACAAATTAATAAATTCCTTCATTTATTCATTCGTTCGTTCGTTCGCTCACTCATTTATTTGTTTGTTGTTTTTTTGTTTGTTTATTTGCTTCATTTATTAATTAGAAATAATTAATTAACTTATCTATTTATTCATTTATAAGAATTTATTTATTTTTATTCATTAAAATTTTTGTATATAACGATATCTATTACATATCACTAACTTGTTTATCTTCACGTTGAGTATTTGCTGTATTTACTGTATTCCCGTTTCTGTCCTGTATCACTACGCTAGGTAGACCTGTAAAGTAGTCCCTTACAAGATGCAACTCGGTGGTTTCCATTCCGTCCATGTACATTATATAATCCAGCTCATCGGGTGGTGGGCTCGACTTACTTGTACGCTGTGCCATCCGCGCAGCCACTGACATCGATGTGTTGTCGGGTCTCATTGTGAAGGCCGTCCATCTTGTTTTGCCTAGATTTCATTTTATATTTTCTAAAGTTAATTCAGATGTTTATACAAAGAAAATTTAAGAAAATAGCATGGAAAAAATATAAATAACCAAGAAAATAAAAGATCAAATAAAAATATGTTGTTTTTTATGTTTTCGTTTTTTACCAGGGTCTATCAAACAAAATTTGAATGATCTATTTAAAAAATAACGCGGTTTTGACAGATATTTAAATTGATTAAAATGAGTTATAAGTAAAACCATAGTAACAATTATGTAAGTTGATCTACATATTTAGATGCATAAAGAACCGACACATGGCACAGCGGTCCAATCATTAGATGCATAATGAACTGACACATGGCACAGGGGTCCAATCATTAGATGCATAATGAACTGACACATGGCACAGCGGTCCAATCATTAGATGCATAATGAACTGACACATGGCACAGGGTCCAATCATTTAGATGCATAAAGAACCGACACATGGCACAGGGGTCCAATCATTAGATGCATAAAGAACCGACACATGGAACAGGGGTCCAATCATTAGATGCATAAAGAACCGACACATGGAACAGGGGTCCAATCATTAGATGCATATAAAGAACCGACACATGGAACAGGGGTCCAATCATTAGATGCATAAAGAATCGACACATGGAACAGGGGTCCAATCATTAGATGCATAAAGAATCGACACATGGAACAGGGGTCCAATCATTAGATGTATAAAAGAACCGACACATGGAACAGGGGTCCAATCATTAGATGCATAAAGAACCGACACATGGAACAGGGGTCCAATCATTAAATGCATAAAGAACAAGACACATGGAACAGGGTCCAATCATTAGATGCATAAAGAGTCGACACATGGAACAGGGGTCCAATCATTAGATGCATAAAGAACCGACACATGGAACAGGGGTCCAATCATTAGATGCATAAAGAATCGACACATGGAACAGGGGTCCAATCATTAGATGCATAAAGAACCGACACATGGAACAGGGGTCCAATCATTAGATGCATAAAGAACCGACACATGGAACAGGGGTCCAATCATTAGATGCAATAAAGAACCGACACATGGAACAGGGGTCCAATCATTAGATGCATAAAGAATCGACACATGGAACAGGGGTCCAATCATTAGATGCATAAAGAACCGACACATGGAACAGGGTCCAATCATTAGATGCATAAAGAACCGACACACACCATGGCACAGGGCTCCAATCATTAGATGCATAAAGAACCGACACATGGAACAGGGGTCCAATCATTAGATGCATAAAGAACCGACACATGGAACAGGGGTCCAATCATTAGATGCCATAAAGAACCGACACATGGAACAGGGGTCCAGTCATTAGATGCATAAAGAACCGACACATGGAACAGGGGTCCAATCATTAGATGCATAAAGAACCGACACATGGAACAGGGGTCCAATCATTAGATGCATAAAGAACCGACACATGGAACAGGGGTCCAATCATTAGATGCATAAAGAACCGACACATGGCACAGGGGTCCAATCATTTTGAATAAACGGTATAAAAATGTATTAACACGATAGGGGAAAAAACTAAAACTACCAAGAGTCCCTATTTTCAAAAAAAAAAAAAAATAAATAAAATAAAAAAATAAATACAGAAATAGGATTTTATAATTATGGATCTAATTAAAACATAACATTGAATTCTTTAATTCTAATCTCAATTTTTTAAAATATGCAACTAGCGCGTTTTTTGTAGTATTTGTTTCGTATGTAGGTTTACCACCTCTAGAACATTAGCCTTTTTCACAAGGGACTTGGCCATTTCTAACAGTATCATATGAAAAGCTATTATTATAAAAAAAAAACATATTGGTGACAAATTTAGTAAAATAAATATCCGTATCAAAACAGGGTCTTTTAAATTCTATTTGAAAGACCCCGATCAAAGTTAAAACATTGGGATTTGGGTTTAAGAAATAAAATTATCAACTTAATTGAAAGTTACTGATAAAGTACACATTTAAGTAACGTTTGTAACTTTTAAATTTATGCGCTCGCTCTTCTTTCCCCACACTTTTTATAAAAAAAAGTTCCAATGCAGAAAAAAAAAACAAAAAAAAACATGTGGATGAAGCGCTTTTTCTTCAAAGCATGGTCATTATAGAAGAAAACATTTCCGGGTCAGTTGCTGAGACCTGCTTGATTAAAAGATGAACGGCGAAATAATAAAAAACAAGAAATGTAATGTATACCAACCTTGTAACCCTGTATTTCCGTGCACAAAAATCATCAAAATTATAATTTTCAAGTTAAATATCATGTTTAATTTGTTTCCTTCCATTTTTTTTTTAATTATTAGATATAATCACAAATATCGGGAGAATACGTGTAGAACAATATGGCACAATCAATTTTTAGCTTTTGCCGTCGGCTAATAGGTATTTGCGACGGTTGTAGCGTCAAGTTAGATACAATCCGATTGAATCTCGCAGAAGAGGGTGCGACGTTTTATAACGCAAGTTCGCGGGCGTCCGTTCACCAGTTTTTATCCCACAAATCTAGATCAGTATCCGAGGATAATTCTATTCATAGTTCAAAATCAACATTAATCAACAAAACATAGGATAATATCTAGTTTTATTGTCGTCACAAATGGTAAACAGTACGTAAACACTAAAGGGATATTTCAAACGATCGATATGCGATAAACGAAGTATTTCCTTACATGGAAGAAAACAACGTTGGTGAAAAGGTGAACATATAGTATCTGACCAAAAGGATAATCAAAGAACCGAAAGGAATTTTACGCACCATCTGATAGTTAGGATTGTCTAATAATAACCCTGGCGATTGGCCGTTTATCCAGAGGTCAAAGGAAGGATAATATTGAACTTTTACGTAACGAAATGATCATTTGTTAAAACAAAAATATACATTTTTTATTTATCATACACTTATTCAGAGGTTTGGAATTTTGAGACTAATGGTACATAGTGTAATTTAGTAATTGGTGAAGTATTCAACAGCTGTTTGAACCCGCCACAGTCTCTATAGGTTCAGAGTTCGATCACGTGCCCAAAAGACCAATTTTAATACTGAACAAAATTATTTAGGTGACAAAGGATATAAACACAGCTGCTGGGAAATTGGGAAAACCTAGTTTTTCGCCAATATTACACGTGCCGCAGAAATAAAAACAAAGGGCCGTAATTCTGCAAAAACTGTCAAATCACAAAATAACCCAGGTCACTTGGTGTCTGTGAAAGTTTTTGTTGTAGATTGTGATAAATCTTAAATTGTTCGGTTGTTTCTAATAATAAGTAAACATGGCCCGACATTGTATTCCGTGTTTTTAAATACTTGTTTTACAATCAAAGATAAAAGTACGGAATACCAGTCGGACAATGCTTATGTTTAATACAGCCGAATATATTAAGATTTATCACACCTAACAACATTTTATTGAAGAATTTTATAAATATGGAAATAAACTGCCTTCGGAAGATATTTTGTTGGCCCGCTTGTCCAGCAACATTCACCACTGTAACAACTATATTTTTCCTTTGGAAAGCCTGGTTATTAATAAAAAATAAAAAAATACGATTGAAAGTAAATCAGTCTGGGCGTGAATTTTTTATAATAAACCATAAAAAATTACCAAAAACTATAACACGATACGAAAAAAAAAACACTCAAAGCCAATGACAACCTTTAAAGATTTTGTTCATTGGCGTAAAATTTCGTCACTGCACAACACTACGTGGGTTAAAACGAGTGCCAATGAACCTATTTTTGAAGACCTTTATGTAATGAATAATTATTCAATTGGCCTATTGGTTACGAAAACATTAGACTAACAAAAGTGTATGTAAGTACCCAGTTGCTTGAAAATAAAATAATAACATATGATACATAAGATTACCACACTCGAAATATATTTTATTATGAGATTAATGAACGCCTAGTGCGATAATAAGTATTTGATTTATTTCGATGACCAACTATAGTTGACCAGACATATTGTAGTAAAAGACGTGTTCGATTAATTAAACATTATTTCCGGCATGTCGAATATGAATGGATAATTATATTAGTTACACTTCTTGCTGTGAGAACATAATGGGTTAAGTTATGTTTTTATTGTGTGTAGAAAATTTTAAAGATAATATTTGTGAAACTATTAATGTGGTTATAAAATAGCTGTGTAAAACAGTACTTTCGTCCTTTTTAATAGTTGTTATAACGGAGACTTTTATGACATTGTAACATTAAGCTCCGTGGTCACATAAATGATTTTAATGTCTGCACGTCATTTGTTGTTATACCTTATATAAAATTTATTTCTTTTTCCCACAAATTATTTCCTATTACTATTACGTACATCCAGTTGTGTCCCCTGCAAATGTTCTGTTAGATTATTGGTTTCACAAAATAACTTTGAAAGATTTCAGTGATTATATATGAATTAGCATCTCGTGCGCACGAGATAATTAAGTGGTACGCACGAGCTACTAAGACGTGTGCAGAAGTAATAAATACAGTCGAACTTCGTTCGCTCGAACTCGGAGGGCCTGTGAAAATTTGTTCGAGAGATCGGTAGTTCGAGCCAACCGAGGTTGAACTTTTATTACGTTGATCAAATGCCTAAAGGTTTTCCTAGCTTACATCGGTCGAATGATAAATTCGTCAATATAATTGTTTGTTAGTACATCTGTTCGTCGAATATTTCACATGTTTCATATTCAGAATTATTATCCTAGTGTTTAATAGTATCAATAATACGCTGTGTTAATCTATATTCATGCATATAGTAATTGGTTGAGTTCGATCGGGCAATCACACCAAACTTATTGAGCAATGTTCAAAATATATTTATATGTTTATAATGGGATGAATTCAATAAAAAAATATTAATGAATGAAATATTTATTAAAAACATTTACAGCAGCATCTATTTATAGTCATAAATAAACACACATACAAGTATCATTCTATAAATAGATAACACTGTTA